CCCCAAAACCCCAAAACCCCAAAACCCCAAAACCCCTTTAAAGAATGGCAAAATTGAAATGATAAAAACTAGTTCTAACCAAAACTCAGTACAAAAATATATCTGTTGGGAGAATATATATGCTTCTTATCTATCTTTCACCTAACTTTCTGGATGATTAAAATTGGTAAAATAACAACCTTCTTTTATTTTCCTTTGGAAACAGAATTAGTTGCATTATTAGAGAGGAAACAATGGGACAAATTAAGATATCAGAATTCTAGGTATGAAAGTAGCTCTATTCAAATCAGTAAAATAAAGTACCGAGCCAGGAGAACAAAACTGGCATCACCTATCTCATTAAGTTTCTATTTTTTTAGCTTTAAGAGTTGGATAATTATCTATGGATGCTAAATTCTTGGTGTAGTCAAAGTTATTATTAGCACAGATCAAAGAAATTAAGGTAGTCCATGAGGTGTTTGGCTAGACATCAGTTCTTCACTTCTCAGACCTTTCAAAGAGCTGGGGTTACACTCTTTGGCTTGTCTTTAAGATCTCTAGGGATAAGAAAATTCTGTCTGATAAGCGATCGTAGTTCCTTCAAAGTTAATTAATAGTGTAGTTTAGAGCACCATCCTAATGTAGGAGCATGAGAATGAAAGTATGGTTGGTTAGGTTTGTTTTTATAAGTTCACTTTGACTTCCCCTTCATTAGATTTTATGGTGGCTGACATTTTGTTACACCGCTATAATTCCAGATTTCTTATTAAGAAGATGATTACACATTATGTTTTATTGCAGTATCTTTGATAAGTGAATCACCTATATCTAAGTTTTTCTAAATGTGCTGTATTTGAAAGTAATCTAAGAGTATATATCCTGCTTTAAGATAGGTTAATTGAGTTTGAGATTGTCTACCAGACTCAAATTTTTAAAAGAATAAGGAATAAATTCTGAAATTCCCGATGATTCTTCGCTATCTTGCTTTAAATAAAACTAATCTTAGTCGATAAGATAGCTATGCATATGATTTCCTGTTGGCTTTTCTAGGAGTAATTTTATTGATATCAATAATACTATTACTCTGCTTATCCCAACTTTCTCTTATCAGAATTTGATATGACCAACTCCATGATCTCAAATCTTATGTAATCATGGAAGATTTAAGCTTTACAAAATTATTTCAGAATAGTCTGAGAACTAAATTCTACTTAACTTATAAAGCTCCCGCTCAGTTTATTGCACTTTAATTTTTAGGGCTTTCATCATCTAATTTGGAGATTAGACTTAAATTTTATAAGCTTAGAATCTCATAGCTATATATTAAAACTCTAACAAGTTTTGTGGATTTATTTGGCAGGTAGCACAGAGCTAACCCAAGGTAAATTCTGAAGCAAAATACTGTATGCCAGAAACAGATGATTAGAAATATCGCACATATTTCAAAATGAATGCATTGGATAGGCTGAACCTCTATAAAATAAGATCTAAATGTAGGAACAAAACACAAATTTGCATTGTATTATCAGTTTAGCATGCATTTATCTCCTCTACTTGCTGCTGCCGAGAAAGATTATATCAGGGATGTTGAGCTAAGTAAGAAGTATATCAAAGAAATATCAGCTTTTAGACAATACCAGTCGAGGAATACAAAGAAGTATTAATGACAAAAAGGATAACAAACCATCAAGCACAGTAGCTAAAATAAAGATAAATTTATTTTCTCAAAAAAGTTCAATAACCCAAACAGTAAGGAACGAATTATCCCAATCTTTAAACAAATCACAAAGCGTCAATAAACTCCTACCAACCTCCACAAAGCCAGTATAATTAACTCATCTCCAAAAATGTTCAAACCCAACCCAAAACCACACAATACCTTAACAAATCCTTATTAAACCCACCAAAGAACATTTTCCCTCCAAAAGACTGCCCGTTAGAATCTCACTTCTCCAAAAACACCTAAAGAATTCAAAGTCTCTACCCTTCAGTCTATTCAAGAGCCACCCTAATCCAATACAAGTAGATTCTAGTACAGAGTCATTTCGAAGAGCTTTCAGCACTCTCTGAATTCATAAAGGACCTAGGAATAGCTGGGAGGGTAGAATAGTTCTATGAAAATGAATGATATTAGACTGTAAGTATAATTTAATAGTTATCAAAGTAAAATTCAAATCAGAGAAAATAGATCGGGGTTTTGGGGTTTTGGGGTTTTGGGGTTTTGGG